CCACCATGTTCGGCCCCGTCGTCTCCGGCCCGAAACACCAGATCTTCTTCGCCAAATCCTTGTCCCACCCGAACTCCTGCGCCAGTATCTGCGACCGCACCTTCGGGTCGTCCCGCGGCCCGATCCGCCCGTCGTCGATCGCCTCCGACAGCCCCTCCTCCAACGGCCGCGCCTCGAAGTACAGCCTGTTGTGCTTGTTCGGCGACTTGCTCATCACCGTCCGCACCGACTTGTCCAACACCGTCTCCCGGAACGACACCACTGGGTCCGACACCACGATCTCCGCGCCCCCCATGAAGTCGTCCTGTAGATCCTTCAAACAGATCTCCAAATGCAGCTCTCCCGCCCCCGCGATGATGTGCTCCCCGCTCTCCTCGATCATGCACAACACCATCGGGTCCGACTTCGCCAGCCGCTTCAGCCCCTCCACCAGCTTCGGCAAGTCCGACGCGTGCTTGCACTGCACCGCCACCCGCACCACCGGCGACACCGAAAACTTCATCGCCCTGATCGGGTGCGCGTCCGTCTCCTTCTCCCCCGTCAGCGTCGCATTCTTCGTGATGAACTGGTCCAGTCCCACCATCGCCACCGTGTTCCCGCACGGCACGTCCTCCACCGACTCCTGCCTCCTCCCCATCCAGATCACCGTCCTCTGCACCGACTTCGTGTACAGGTCCTTCTTCCCCCCGGGCACGTAGTTCGGCCCCATGATCCGCACCTTCATTCCCGTCGACACCTTCCCCGCGAACACGCGCCCGAACGCGAAAAACCGCCCCTTGTCCGACGCCGGAATCATCTTCGACACGTACAGCATCAGCGGGCCGTTCGGGTCGCAGTTCCTGATCGCGTTCGCGTACTGGTCGTCCAGCGGCCCCTCGTACAAATTCTCCACCCTGTACCTCTGCGCCGTCGCCGGCGACGGCAAATGGTGAATCATCATCTCCAGCAGCGCGCTCGCCGCCGGCAGCCACGCCTGCATCGTCCTCTTCATCAGCGCCTTCCCCACCAGGTCCTTCTCGTCCGCCTTCAGCCCGCAGTTCAGCTTCGCCAGCATCGGCCACAGCTTCTCCTTCTGGTCGTTCATGCAGATGTTGATCACCTGCTTGATCGGGTTGTACACGAACTGCACGAACCCGCGCTGGCACGTCGCCGACCCCGTGTTCTTCGACGTCCACTTCTTCGTCGCCGGGTCGAAAAAGTTCTCCCCCCACAGCCTCTCCATCATCTTCTTCTCGTCCACCCCGAACTTCCCCGCGTACATCTTCGCGAAGTTCGTCAGCGTGAACGCCCACCCGTGCAGACCCGCCGAAAACGCCACCGTCCCCTTCTCCGGATACACCTGCACGTCCCCCAGCAGCGCGTCCTCGTACGTCGCCATGATCACGTTCGCGCTCTCGATCACCCGCTGGAACGTCTGGTACGCCTCCTCGCCCTCCACCTGCAGCTCCAAAAAGCACCTGTCCATCTTGTTCACAGTCAACACCGGCCTGATCCTCTCTCCCAGTGCCTGCCGCAGCACCGTCTCCGTCTGCACGCACACTCCCTCCACGCAGTCCACCACCACCAAAGCTCCGTCCGTGATCCGCAGCGCCGCCGTCACCTCCGACGAAAAGTCCACATGCCCGGGCGAGTCGATCAGGTTGATCAGGTAATCATGCCCGTCCTTCTCGCCCTTGTAGTCCTTCAGCGACTCCTCCGTCATCTCGTAGTACAGCGAGATACCGGTCGACTTGATGGTGATGCCACGGTCCGCCTCATCCTGCCGAGTGTCCGTCAGCCTCACATCTCCGGCGGTCTCCTGGGCAATGATTCCAGCAGCAGCCACCAGGGAATCCGTTAAAGTCGACTTTCCTGCAAACCACAACCAAACCCCCACACAGTCAGATTCATCTCATTGTCGGCCGTTGTTGCTCCTCACTCGTTTCCTTTATCTTCATAAAGTGTCGTCCAGGGCGTGAACGCCATCCAATGCAGTGGAACAACTCATGCCGGGCATTCAAAAAACACTAAGCTTGAGCGCATGGCTGTTAGTTCCCCACACAAGTTCACATCGATGGCTACGTCGCACACCATGCTAACGGATAACAACATCTAGCTCGATTTCTCGGCTTGAGGATCTCCACATACATGCGGAGCAACGGGCGAAAAGGGGTGCACTCTCTCACCGCCCGTGGGGACCTAGCATGAGCAATTTAAGGTCGTCCTGGTTTTCCCATCCACCCGCGTTTACCACACTCAAAGACCCACTCACGTAGACTCTGGCACTGAACCCCAACTCGGGTGTTGCAGCCTCACTTGCAATCGACCCTTGCTGTCCTCCCCCTTCAAACGGGGCAACGGCTACACATTACTACGACCATATCAGCGCAGACCTAGGGTCGTGCCCTGGGCTTTACAATGCCCTTCCCTCGCATTTCCCCCAATCAATCCTCCGCATAAGGAGGCTGAGGCGGTTACTTCGCCCCCGCCTTCAGATCTTCGAATGGCTCGCAGAAGTGCGAACATTTCGGGTCGGTTTCAAGCAGTCGCCCTTCCGATCATCGCACACTACAAACTCAAACCCTAGTCACCAGACCCAGACTACCACACTGCAGGAGACAGGGACTTCGACATACCGTGATCGACATGGGCGATGACGGACATGTTCCTGATGTTGTGCTTCTTGTCCATGATGGCGCGGAGCTCGTCCGCCGAAAACTTCACCTGTCACAACACGAGCGCACCAATCCATCAGAACATGAAACACTTCGCCCTAATAGGAAACCCCAATCGGACCAAAAACCCCACGATACCCACACCGCCTCGCCTGACTCCACCCACATCAAATCAGGGCAACCGTCAATCCCGAATGTTGTGTTTTATTTCTTAGAACCATGTCGTGATTGCATTCACTTATGGAGTGCAACTCATGCCGCTGTGATCGACACGTCGAATTAGCCTGTCGGATAATTGCAACGGGAAACCTAATGGTAGCATTTTTTACAATAATTCATTTGTTGGCTTCATCCTATCAGCGAAGCTATACATAGCGCTGAATCCATGCCATTCTAATCGCAACATCAAGCCCTTTCTAGCCAGCGCATGCGGGAGTTTTATCGATAAAAAGCAGTACTATCATATCTTACAATCAATTTTGAGAAATCACAATAAGCTAAGCACGGGGCATTGGAGGTTACCATCTTGTCAAGTTGTTGATGTTCTCGCCCTCAACGGCGCAGCGGAAGGAGGGATAGTGAAAAGAAATGATCAGCAGGCTGGGGGAAATGTGAGCATGCCGCCCCTATGTTGCCTTGGAAAAGACCTCAGACTGAGTCGTGCTGTGAGATATTATGGTCACTGTTGTTCGTGACAGTCGCCCTGTAATGCTACAGCTGCCATTCGCCTTAATCCGACGGTGATCCCGAAGGCTTGGATTAGGGCTGAAGTTTTTGTGGCTCGACATTCTAGGTCAATTATGTGTCACCTTTCTGTAGCCTGAGGTTATGCTTTATGGTGGAGATAACTTTTCTTTTACTACTGGCACTCCCGTTAAAGAACAGATCTATTAATAGCGTGTGCTATTCGCTTCTCTGAAAAAACTTGTCCTCTCCATTAGTGCGTGTATATGTTCTCTGTTTCTGGTTTTCTTTCTGAGGAGCTTCTACGCCTCGACCGAGCTATGACAATCTCGGCTCGCATTGAGTTTTGCCTTTCTGCTACGTTTGCTCATGTTAGATGTCGTGTCGAGGTCTGAAAGTTTACAGTATGTTTGTTCTAGCTAAATAGGAATATTTGGTTTTTTTGTTACTCTTGAGTGTGTTGATACAGTAGAGTTTCTGGGATTTTGCGCAGCATGTGTTTGTTGATTTTCGTTGTATAGGAGGCTTTCTTGTGAGAAACCACAGGCACGGATGCGTGTAATAACCTAAATGTCGCAGTGATAAAATATGCGAAATTAAGCATTGGTGTGTTAATCATAGCTATATTAGACAATCGCACGAGCCACGGGTAATATAATTGCTAGTCCATTTTTAACTCGTGCACATTTCAAGACTTGTAGACATCGTTCATGCTCTCCTCTATAACAATGGCTGGGTTGGAGAGATTTCTGATTCTTAACGGTGCCCACAGTTTTTATTTTCCTTGTTTTCTACGACTTAGTTTTCTTTTCAATTGTCGCACGCGATTACCTGATATTCAACCCAGCCATCGTTCCTACTTGGCAAATCCTGAAAACGATTTCATAGCAGCGCATCTCCATGTTTTACCTCTTCAAGCTTCTGATATCTATTCCTACAAGCTTTCTGCAATTAATTCTCAGTCTTGCTGGTTATAACACAATCTATGCAGTTGCTCATGATAGTGCTTGGGGGTAGCCAGTATTCTCACTGTTGATTCTCTGTGTGGGTGAAAGTTCAACTTCGGCTCTGGTGCAAAATTTTGTTGGGTGTTGTAGTATTGTCTGTTTTTTTAACAATGGCTCTTCAACTAATTTACTGTAATAACCATGTATTTTCCTTCCTTTTATTTCACCAACATAGATAGGTGTTTATGTTTTGTGCATGGATTTTGACCAGCAGGATTCTGGCTGTGTTTCGAAATACCAGCATTCGTATGTTTCATGATCGTTGAGTGTAGCTCCGGTTTCTGCATTGCTTCTCCAGCTTTCCATGAAAATTCGAAGTCACGTACATGAGAATCAAATGCACTTTAGATGTGGAGTTGGAGTTTTAATGAAGGGTTAACAAGAAGGGTCCACGAAAATGAAAAATCGTGATTGTCGGAGTATCAGTTTCATCTGATTGATCGAATAATATGGTTAATTACTCTATCAGGAGGTCAAAATTATTACTGTCCAGTAAACATGAACATTAGTTACAAATATGTGAGTGTTAGTGTATTTACATGTATATTGTGAGGACAAAAGACTTGATGAATGAAAGAAATCTCGATACCGTGTTGATCTTTATATAGATTTAATTTATAGTGAACTTTCTTGACAATTCGAAGCAACATCACACACGAACATAGTCGTGTAAATTTTTGAAACAAAAAAAAATTGTACAATCCAGGTTATAAAATACATTTTGAACATGCTTTACTGGTATTACATGACAAATAATAAAATATGATGTTAACAAGCCCTCCAAAACGTCTAATACTTATATATATATATATATATATATATATATGTACACATTTTTATTACATAAGTATGGTTAAATTCAACTTCATATATATGTATATATATACACTCTTGTGAAAACCTATGTTGATGGACACAAAAAAGAGAGATAAAAAATAAGAATCAAAATAGGAGAAGATGTCATCCTTGAGACATAAAATGATATGAATTTGATGCATGATTGGGAGCTTCCAAGCTCGATGTCTAGTGATCTTGCAGTGCTACTCTTGGCAATTTGTGGCATGTAAATTTTGATCCATGATTGATCAAAAGTTGATCACTTTTGCTTCACTTTTGATGAAAACAATGAAATATGTAACCAATTAAAGATGGTTTTGATTCCTATAGTTTATGCCAATGGTTTATCCCCCAAGTTGTTTTAAATAAGCAATATACTTACATACATACATGTGTGAAGTTATGGAAATATATGATGTTTTTACAAGTAATGGCATTTCTAAAAAAAAAGAGTAAAATATATAATATATATAATTTTAATATTTTAATAATATATGTTTTACATAAAAGATATGGTTTTTATTTTTTTAATTTTTGGCTCAGGTTCACATAATTTCAACTATATGTTTGAGATACACTTATCAAAATTATATTTTGATGGATATTCCAATCCTAATTTATTTTTCAATGCATGTGCTTTCTATTAATATTAAATAAGATTGCAAACTTATACATATTTCATGCAGGCTTAAAATAAGTGAAAAATAAAAAATCGTATTATTTAATTTCAAAATATAAATATTTTATAAATTAAACTTACAAACATGTAAAAAAAGCGCAATAATAATGAAACGGTTAATTGAGATGAATACACTCTGTGTCATCGGAGTGACAATCTTGTCAGGACGTAACGTTGGAAAGACGATATCTGGAAGCGGCATTGTTTGGCATGTCGAATGATGGCCCCTGAAATTCAATTCCTGCCCTCATTAGGGCTTAAGCTCCAGAACCACCTCCCGTTAGGGTTTAACGTCACAGCCATTTCTGTCGAGCTCCAGGTTTTGTTGTCATCGATTCTTACTCTACGCTCTCGAGTTCTGCTGATTCTTTGCAGCTTTTTGTACTGCCAGTGTTTCCATTATGCCGAAGTCGAAGAGGAATAAGCTCGGTGAGGACAAGCAACTTGGAACGCCCATGTGTATTTTTGAAAGGAACCCGAGAATATCGTTTGGCTCATATTGTTGTTGTCGTTGTTATCGTCTCTGTCGGACTTTTGTGCGAGGGTCGTGTGTTATGTGATGCTGAATTCGGATTTTGCCTGGTTATGATTCAGTGACTCTATCCAAGACAAAGAAGAAGGACAAGGAGCAGAAAGAGTCCCTCGTGAAGTCTGTCCGCGACTGTCTCGATCAGTACACGTCTCTTTACATCTTCTCGTTTGAGAACATGCGAAACATCAAGTTTAAAGAATTCAAGGAAAAACTTAAGTCTAGTTCCAGGTATTTTTCATTTCCGCTTCATCTTCTGTTGAACTGTCTACTCCGTGGAATAAGTACGAGTTACTTCAGGTGTCTTGGCTTTTCTGTTACGAGGTTCATGTTGCAGCCTGAGTGGGAGGTAATGACCGTACTAGGTTTAGGTTTTCTCACTCGTCTCCTTCAGTTTAGCTTGGAGAAGGTTCTCGTGCTGTCTGCTTCTAACAATGGTTCAAAAGTTGAGATTGTTTCTGTTGCTCAGTTACAGTTTGTGGTTGCCTGAGTGTGGGACCTTGATTGGTTAGGTTCTTTTTAGGAGGGAACAAAGTGCTGCAGATTGCTCTGGGGAAATCAGAAGCTGAAGAGCAAAAGGAAGGATTGCACCAAGCCAGCGAGGTATTGTAAATCTGTGGAAACCTACTAACTGTATGCTATACATGAATCTAGTTTGGAGGCACATTCCTTAATTTTTTTCACTGGAATTGAACTCGACGACTTGGAAGTGGACGTCAGTGATGTGGGATAACTAGAAACGTCTCTGTGTCGGGCTGCAGTTAATACATGGATTCTGCGGACTGTTCTTCACGAATCTTCCCAAGTCAGAGGTCATTAGGGGATTTCAAGAGTTTGAAGAGCTTGATTTTGCACGGACTGGTAGCGTTGCGACTGAGACGGTAAGGGTTCGGTTCTACTTGCGTTCAGCAGGTTACTAGGTATTATATTATTCTTTCCGATCTTTTTCTTGCTAGGTTTTTGCACAAGATATGTCACGAACTTGAACTAAATTACAGTTGTCACTGATGACAGGTGGAACTTCAAGAAGGACCTCTAGAGCAATTTTCACATGATATGGAACCATTTCTTCGCAAGCAAGGAATGCCTGTTCGTCTTAACAGGGGTATACTATTTTTTCTTGTTCCTTTTACTGACCTTAGAATGAGTTGCGCACAGGTGGAGACAACAATCCTACTGTTACTATATGTTGCAAACTGGTCTTACAGCATGAAAATGATCTTGGCATGAAGGACACCCTGAAGTTTAAAAACTGAATTGCATTACCAGGAACGCGTGTGTAGTTGTTGCATAGAAATTTGTTACACCATGGCCCCTCCTTTTGTTTCTTTACGTTCCAATTTCTTCATAATCTAGACAATTATTCTTGGTTCACGACTTATGTATTTATTTATCCTTGAGCAGGCGTTGTAGAGCTTGTTGCGGACTATACTGTCTGTACGGAGGGCGAGAACATCTCACCCCAGGCCTCAAGAATATTGGTACTATCTCTTTCTATGTCTTTTGGCGGTCTTTATACATTTTTCCGTGATGATTGGACTCGAGTCATATTCAGTAAACGCATACGTTTAAATAGCCCTATTCTTTCGGCGGCGCTTCTACAACGTACTTACTGCTTCGTACTTGGAGTATTATTGAAAAGAACTCTGATTTAACTTCCTGTTCGGTTGCAGAGGTTGCTAGGTGTTCAAATGGCTGCTTTCAAGATGCACCTGCGATGTCGTTGGACACCTAATGAATTCGAAGTTTTTGAAACAGAAGAAAAAATGCAACTAGGCAATCCTTCAGATGGCTCTTAGGCTTGCATTCTCTCGGCATAGGCACTTGCTGAGCACTGCTTGATAACTCAAACGATGGGGTGTTAAAGTAGTTCACAGTTTGTTTATCCATCATCTTTTGAACAACCTTCTGATGATGCTTCTGCTGTAATTTGAGATATTGGAACTCCTAGACAGGCGCCGCGGCGAGAGGGAATGTGAACTTGTAGAAAAATGACACTGTTAGGCAGGATATGAGGGTATTATGTTTCTCTCGACTCTTTATTAACTTGAGCTACGAGAATAGAAGGGAACAAAAGATTAGTAGGTGATTCAATCTATCTTTAGCATGGACTGCAATGTACCACCTGCTCTTAAAAGAGTCCAACAGAACGGATTCTAGTGGCACTTTCATTCTATTCAGATTGACCATATCCTGTACCAGCGGGCGAAATTGATCTCGCATCCTGTATGCTCTCAATACTGAATGCTCTCAGTCCTGAAATCGTCATCCAACATTGATACCGGTCTTTCAAGTCACGATATTGACATTGTGTCGCAGTGCTTGTTGAACAATAACGGATAATTTTATGGAACACAATCTGAAAACCTCCGCAGTGGATTAGGACATTGTTGTCCACACATAGACTTTTGTTCGCAAAAGAATCCAAATGTTGAAATGGCATTTCTTCAGTAACGGTCGATGTAGTCTAAGAAGAGAGAGAAATGGAAATTTTTAACTCGTAATCTGCATAACTAGTCAATAACTGTACATTGGAAATACATCAAAAACTTGGGTCTGCTTGCTGTCTTATCGCTCATGCAAATACCAATTGCTGTGGACATTTAATGTAGTTTGGATGATTCTTTAGTGCATGGCCTCTAGCAGCTGAGAAGATAAACCTTAAGCCGGTTTTCAACCATACACAAGTTGGATGGATGAGGATATATTCGAACCAAGAACATCACTCACTTGGATGGTGATTCTGGGTGAGATGAATGTAACCACGGCAGCCATATCCACTATCTCACCATGACGCAGCAGTATACCGCTTCCTCTTGTTGCTCGGAGACGGGCAGTTGTTTTGAGTGACCCTAGATTGTGCAGCGATGGCGTCCTTGGCGTGCTCTCTATCAGCTCCTTGCAGCTCGTCTCTGCGTAGCAGCTTCCAAGGAGAGTCTCTCGTTACGGGCAATCCCTCCTCCTCGTACCAGGTGCAGCAGCAGCAGGGCAAGGGCGCTCTCAGAATCAAAGCTAAGGAGTCGAGGATCGGGAAGGCACCAATTCCCGTGCCGAAGGGTGTGACGATTAACCTTGAAGGCCAGAGCTTGACTGTGAAAGGGCCTCTCGGAGAGCTCGCGAGGACGTACCCCCGGGAGGTGAAGCTCACCAATGCGGGTGATGTACTAACCGTAGAAAGGGCTGTCGAGTCCAGGAGAGCTCGCCAAATGCACGGTCTGTTCAGGTAAGCTGAATTCATTCAATTGGGTTGCATTCCTTCATATTTTCGCAATGTACGAGTATTTTGAAATGAGGCAAGAATCGTTACCTTATTGAGCAGAATTTTAAATCTAAGAATTCTCGGAGTGGAGAAATCGAACTCGACATTTGTCTCGTTTTTTGTAGGACATTGACGGACAACATGGTCATCGGAGTCAGCAAGGGTTTTGAGAAGAGGCTCCAGCTTATCGGTGTGGGATACAGAGCTGCCGTTGAGAAGGACGAGCTAGCCCTAAATTTGGGATTCTCTCACCAAGTGCGAATGAAAATTCCCGAGGACATTACCGTGAAGGTGGAGGAGAACACGAGGGTGTTAATCTCGGGGAAAGATAAGTGCTCCGTGGGAGATTTCTCTGCGGCGGTCAGGAAATGGAGGCCTCCGGAACCGTACAAGGGTAAAGGTATCAAGTACTCTGACGAGGTTATTCGCCGTAAGGAGGGCAAGGTCGGCAAGAAAAAGTAGAGGGTCTCCCCCAACGGAATATTTTCATAGTCGTAGCTTTTACCTCACCCTCTGGTTTCTGGAGGTGGAATGTCTGGGCTGGCTCAAATTGGATGCTACAATGGATATTGACGTACATTTTTTGATTTCTCAGCTCCTATACATCGCTAATTTAGCGGCGTTATACAGTTTCGTTATCTATACCTGCATTCTTTCTGTCCCCTCCATTGCACTAATGCCATCTCCATTCCAAGGTTTCGTGACTGGTTTGGAACACTAGTTGTCGCTGTTATCATAGTGGAGCGGTTTTTAGTGAAATCAAACCCGGTAAGGAAAGATGGAAACAATCATTATCAATTACAGATACGTATCTTAAAGAGGGTTCTATGCTATCTTCGATGTGGCACAGGTTTGCATGAGGAACGCGTACAGATCCTGCCTATGAATTGATTCGAACCCATCGTGTTCCTGGTACCTATGAATATCCACATCCAGTATTTTACTGTATTCTTGGGCTCCTCCTGCAAGTTCGAAGTGCTTGATACCATCAGGAACTAGTCAGTGTATGAACATTCTGTACCCAAATGAGCAATGATATCAGCCCGAACACACTGCCCATTGTGAATCTGAACATAACCGTCTACATGGTCGACGAACCGGTTGTTACTCCTGTAGAAGGTGGTGCCTAGCTGCTTCGATACCCAAATAGGATTCACACACAACTCTTTCTTCCTTAAATCATAACAAAACTTTTACACAAGCAAAAAGTCTTCTTTCAAAGCAACATTCAAAATTACGAAAATCGTGCACACCGACGCAAAAGATAAAATACATGTGCCATCCAACTGAATCAATTTTTGATGTATGCTCCACAATTGGTCTGCTTCAATTGCAAAATAGTTACATTCTATCTCACGTCTGTTATGGATAGGCACGTCTCAAAACATGCGTGTTCTCCGAATTATGTGTAGTCATCAGGGTCTCCTTCCTCAAATATCATGTAACTTTCGATTCCGTTTGTCTTCTTCAAGGTTCAAGATAACATGGTTTCATGATGCATGTCAAGCATGACAGTCCCTTCATGCAATACACTTCCAGGATTCGGAAGATTTAGGATATTGCGAAGCTGCTGCACCAAGTAGGGGGTGCCCGAGAGTCTAACCACGACCATCACTACCTTCACCTGCCACATTTGATCAGTTGGATTGAGATCGGCTTGAGATCGACGACGAGATCGAAGTGGTAGCATATGTCAGGTACCGAGAGCTCGATCTCGTCGCATAAGCTCACGGTTGCTCACGGTTGCGTGGCGCCTAACTCGGTTGTAGTGAGCTTTCCAAGTGCGAAGGATGGTTGTTTGAGCCAGTACTCATCCAAACAAAGAGGTTAGGCATGTTTGGTATTTTTTAACTTGTCCATTTTGTTTGGTAGCTCATGACTGAAGACCACCCCAAGAGAAGGTAGTCTATGGAGGTTGAGGCAAAAGAGGACCTAGATTGGGCTTTTATTGGGATTGATTCCATCCATCTCGCACAACCTCGTCCCTGCTTTAGCTCTGCCCTGGTTTAGAGGTCCTGTTCCTTTCTGTGCTCTGTCCAAGGCTTGCCGATGTACTCAATTTGGGCCAATTTTTTTGCACAATTTAATAAAATGTGTATTTTAACTTGCAAAAATTGAGTTAAGGCAAGTAGATGCCAGGCGGCTAAGGCAAAGGGGAGAGAGTTGGAAAAGTGACCACGTACCAAGACAAAAAGCAAACTAAGGTCACATCAATGGCGGTTGAGATCAAATTTGAGACATACCATTGTAGTTAAAATCTACAACCATTGCATTAATCTTTCCAAATCTCAAATTGTACCACAAGGCAAATTGTAGTTAAAATCTACAACCATTGCATTAATCTTTCCAAATCTCAAATTGTATCACAAAGCAACTGATGGAGGATAGCCCATGGAATCTAAGATGACTAACAAGTTAGCTTGGAGGCTCCATGAAACTTAGAGCCAACCTTTGACCTAAATCCATAATTCTAGGAATACTATTACAAGAAAGATTTGAATGTTGAGCAAGGTTTTTTTTATTATGCAATATCATCATTGTTGTGAAGTATATCAATAGTAGAACATTTTTTACCCAATATTAGTCAATTCAATTAGAATAGATACAAATTTAGTAGTTGATTGGACCAAAGCTTTATTGAAAGGCAAGTCTATTGCCACTCACACAATAACAAGGCTATCAAAATACATAAAAGAAAGAATATTGGAAGAGAAATCAATGTCAATATATGAATCCACTATGAGCAAAAGAGCATTCATTAACTATTCAAACATCATATCTAGATCCAACTTATAAAGAGCTTTGATACATGCACATACTTGTAGTATCAACAAGAAGATATAATCAATGAAGAAGTACCATTTGACTGACCCAATATACATAACTAATACATCAAAATATTGTACCATGATTAGTTTTCAAGTAAATCCTAATCCTTCCCCTTAATTATTACATATATTAGTTAGTTTGAAAGATGTAAAATTTCATACTTTCATCCAAGATATATAATTATTGGTGGTCTAATCTTTTTCATATACATGGTCTGTCATGACAACCCTAATATCTCTCTTTAATAAAGGAGATTGCAATCTTTTGAATATAAAGGCAACATACACGTCAAAATCTTCTAAGATATTTTGAACCAAATACAAAGGAGGCAACTTATAAGGCAACATCTACTTAAGAAATATCTACATATGGATCTTGCCTTCATCAATATGGAATATAACAAAGTTATAGCCTTAGTCATTGGAATAACTTTGGACCTTACAAGATTATTACAAACATATTACTTCCAACATCACTAAAACTGTAGCTTGCTAATACATGAGAATTATAAACTTTTGAAGGACCTACTTTGTATTGCAAAGAAAGTCTCTTATTCTCTATAACTCCAACTGATCTTTAATAGCCAACTATCCAAAGAATCAATAAAAAGATTAAATTTCAAAGAAGAAAACAAGGTTTTAAGAGCCACAAAATTGTCTCTATGGACCAAAATAAACTTTCACAAGTCTTTTCATTAATTGATGATCAAATCTAATAACTATTTTGAAATCCAATTTATACAAAAAAAATACAAAAGATATACATTAGGAGAACCAAGTTACATTCTAAAAAGAGACAACATTATCTTTTATAATTGGTCGTCTTATTTTAACTCAGACCTACTTGTCAAAAAATCTTATGTCAAAGTTGGAGCTTGGACCTAAATATGTGAGCTTCTACCATTTATTAAAACTCAAGAATTCCTATAAAAAAAACTTTGAAGTATTTTTCAAAATAATCTTTGTTGAGAATGCTAATACTTATTTATTGAGATAATCTAGTCTAAGAGTTTGCATTCTAATAGATAACATGAAGTTCTTTTATCAATTAATCTTACTACCTAAGTAATATGAAGAAAAGGATATTGAATATGCATTAAAATATAATGATCTCATTTCTCAATGTAGTCATTGTTGCTCTTTTAACTATACTATCTAAATGTATTATGTCTCCAAAAGACCAACCATTGAATATCTTAACAATAAAGACATCGATAGAAGACAAACAATTTTTGTCTCTTTGAGTGGAATTGGACAAGTTCCAAAACTTCAAGCATTGAAATATCCAACTCAATCCAAAGACAATATCTCCAAAATACAAAACTTCTTCTACCAATAAAAAAGAAATCAATATAATAGCCATTTTTTGTCCCTACATAGCCATTGATAAGAATACAAGACTACATTATATTATGTATATATATATCAGCTTCTAATCAATGCTTCTTCTTGACAAGATTTTAGAAGAATCAATGTTCTTAGTAGGTATCTTCCCCTCTTTCTATTGATGTAAAGAGGGCTTTTAGAAGCTCTTATCAATTCATTTGTATCAATTGATAGGCTACTTATAGATTTTTAATTAATACAAGAACTAAAAGAAAAAGCTTCGATTTCAACTTTATTACAAATTCACCTTATTAATAAAATTATGCTACACTTCTAAGAAAATATAATTTGAAACAAAAACTCATAATCCACCTAAATCATTAGAAGATGCAAATTGGTTATACTTCCAAATGCAATTAATCTCTTACAAGTTACTATGTACTATTAATGACTTTATTAGCTATAATAAAGACATATATATACCAACAGATCTGAGTGGAGTACAATAGACAATCTTTTCTTTGATTCTATAGAAACATCTATCATACTACTTATAACACCAAATATAAGCATAGAACATTGAATCCAACTATCTATCTTTTTTTTAAGGATGTAATCTAATATGACTACTAGTGGATTCCAATCTTCACCCACATGTCTTTTTACTACCTACTTCTAATGAAGACAATGATGGAGAGTCCAAGATCTTAAAAATGGATATTCCAAATCAATGATCATCTTATCCTTGCATTACTTAATATACAAGAATTTGGATGAAATATCACATATGTATATAAATGATTTGAGGTTAGGGATATCTTACAAAAATCTCATTTTTGACTAAAAATTCTTTTTATCTAAAAATAAAAAAATTCTTTAAAAAAAGAGAAGAACTATACTAAATAAGTCAAATTTAAAAAAGGTCTCTCTCTCTCTCTCTCTAAAATAAAGTCACCTACTCTGCCAACAAGGATAGTTTTAAAAGTAAAACAAGCATCCTCCCCTTGATTAAGTTTGCAAGCCTTATATACAAACATATGATGATTATAAAAGACAAGGCTTAATATGTCATCCTTCAATGGAGCTTCTACATTAAAATAATGATTATTAATATCTATGTCTTTAATTACATAAAATCAAAGATATAACTATGGAACAAGTTCCACCAATACTAGCTTCTACAAATCAATTGGATTCTTATATGAGACTTTAATATGATTGAACAACTTAAAGACAAGCAAGGTGGCCAATCTACTATTAATTAAGGACAAAGAGAGCTAATAGCATGGAGTAACATCTTCTTATTCTTTGGCTAACAAGATTATTTTTGAGAAGATAAATTAAAAAAGGCCTTTTTAAAACATTTTTTATGAAATAATAAATGTATTATATCTAATATGATATGCTCCAATATTGACATGTTTTTAATAAATCAAATTCTGATTTAGATCAAAGATCAAATTTTTATTTGATCTTCTTTAGCTCATATCTTAGATCATGTGGCCATCTTTGTATATTTGCAAGCTTGCCGCAAGAAGATTCAAAATATGTCAACATTCTATTGATACTTATTTACAAGTAACATAGAAAAATCTCTCTTATTAGCCAAATGATATAAGTCTATAAAACAGACACTCTTAAGTTCTAAAATGCATATTTTGTAG